AACCCATAAAAATTTTGAAATTGATGAGATGAGCGCCGAGAGAAGAGAAGAAAATTATTTTAGATTTTTTCCTTGCGAAAAACCTGTGAAACGCGTTTGAAGAAGCCTTTACATTTGTGAAATCTGCCAGATTTTCCATTCATTTCGTTGTCTCTTGAATGTGTAGTTTGCTTTGAAGTGTTAATGGGATTAGGCATGTTTAATGTCGTAACAGCTGTGTTAAAGCTTTGCTCATCAGTTGAATATGTTGCCATTCCCAAAGGGGCTCGATTGTAGCCTATCTGAATATCATTATGATCATCAAATGAAACATTTTCATCCATCCATACTGAGCTTGATACATTTTGAAGATTTTGAGTTGGAATTTCGAGCTGTTGATTGATAAAAAGGATGAATTAAACTCAATAAATGAACAGAACTTCTTACCTTGTTCGAGTAACCATCATCGTCAAAATCTTTTGCATATCGTGTGGATAGAAATTGAAAATTTTGTTCATTTCTTTTGGTCTTTTTTGAAGCACGTCTGTTAGTTAGTGTCGTGGTTGGGAGTTCTTCAATGCCATTTGCTTTTAAATTGCACATGAAACCTAAATCATGATTTGAGACTAATTTTGATTTCTTTTCAACATCATCTTGACTGAGTGTTGTTAAATCATCAGAAGGTAAATATCGACGAAGATTTGACTTTTCTATATCAGAGGCATCATTTTCTTCGCTTATTTCTTCGATTGGATCAAGTAGATTTGAAGATCTTGGCGATACATTTTTGAACTTAGAAGAAGAAACTTCGTCGGCTTGTTGGATGAATCCAAGTTTTCCTTTAACTATCTTGAATTGATGTCCAGAAATGTCCAAAGTTGCTTTTTCAGTGTCGTCTTCAGATGACTGAGATTCAATTATGTCATCATTATCATCATGAATGGTCCACTTATTATCTACTTTGAGAATGTTTCTCGGATATTCATCTTTAGGAACATCAACGACAGCATTTTTCAAAGCTTTTGTCATGTTTTCTTCAGTGATGTCGACACGTTGAGGTTCTTCACTTACATCCAATGGACTTGATGATTGCATAGAATTTTCATTCCATTCAACTTCATCAACATGTTGAAAGTTAGTATTAGAATTTACAATTGTTTTTATGTTTTCAGAAGTATTTTCAATTTTTTGAGAGCTGCATGACACTGACAAAGATTCTGACTGGAAGCAAGTACATTTAGATTCCAAATCTTCATTATTCAATTCAGAAATAGAATCATAATGAATATTTTCTTCATCGTTAAGATTTTCCTGAACTCCAGCAGATATTTTAAAATCGATTATTTCATCGTTCTCATCATGAAAGGTTGAAACTCGATCTATTGTGAGAATGCTTCGTGTGAATTCATTTTTCATATTTTCATCTGACGAATTCTCAAATTTTATCAAATCATGTTCAGTATTCAAATCACGTTGGTTGCGACTATTTCCACCTACAACTTCTTGGAGTTTTAACTTTAAATTCGTTTGATCCATCGTGGTGTTTAAATCTTTAGTTTGATCTTCAGGCGTCTGAAAGAAAAATTAATAAAACTTTACTTAGCTTGCTTAAAAAAATGAAAAGTTCTTGAACATTCTTACATTTAAATTCCCATAATTCCATGAAGTTTGCTGTTGTGAATGTTGATCATCTTTGTTCGAGAAATTTTGATCTTTCGACTGTCCGCTTTCAATTTCCTATTAAAAAAAAGAATCGTTGAGATGTTTTTATAAAATTATCTAATTAAGTTATTTTATTTAACTAACCTCCTGCTTTGAAATTTCTAGAATTTTATCCAACTCCTTTATTATTGAGTCAACATCCATTTCTTCTGTTTTATTATTATGAAATTAAAGCATCAAAACG